GGTTGCTTCGATGGGAGAGGCCCCTTCGGAGTGGTTTCTCTGGAGTCGCCAACACTGCTATGTCTTCCTCCTCATGACTGTCAGATGGGGACAACCCTCCACAGTCCAGGGTCTCATCCGCGATAAACTTGACATCTTCCTCTGAATCCTCCATGTCCCGACAGCCGGAGCGAGTCAGCTTAGAGCGGAGCTCCTACCAAAAAGCTTTCTTCCAGAGCCTCGTCCAGGGAAAGCGAAAGCACAAGTCTTTGCATCTCCAAGGGTGTACACGTTTATGTTACATTTTGACCCACTGTGTTTCTAAAAGTCTTTTACATTCCTGTGACCACCATGAGAAATCTGTGCTCAGGACAGCAGACCTATGAATGCTTTCAGTCCAGCTAGTGAGGCGTCAAAATAAATATACCTTTGAATATGGCTGTGAGTACATACAGAATATTTTACTTGCAATTGAGACTTTGTATTTCATAGCATCTTGTAGCACTGCATCTGTTACAGCTTCCAGCCCTGGAAGACAGTGCTGGCTTTCTGTCCAGCGCATTTTGCCCTGCCAAGATCTCTATATTCTCAGACCTAGTTCTGACACTGGGGCTTCCATTTGGTTGTGTGGCCATTTTGCAACACATTGGTCTGTCAAATATGTATTCATATTGCTGTTTTCTTCATCAGTCGAACCCAGGAGGTCTGTATTCTCTGTGTCCATATCAGTCAAGTCTTGCTTTATTTCACTGTCACAGGAACTTTGGCTGACATGGCCAGCATCAAAGTCACCACCGTCATTGTCACATCACACACCCACAACACACTTCTGTTATGAATGATTCTCTCTTTTTTGGTATCAAGGATAGAACTCTGGGCAGGACCCTGCACTTGCCAGGCAGGCACTCGTGCTGCTGAGCTACATCCCCAGCTCCACACTTCTGTTATGAAAGCATGCATTTTACCATAATAGATCATCATCTTCATCCATGCCTGGGTAATCTGATGATTCACTTGTGACTTCCTCCAAAACTTGCAAATCTGGTTTTTCCTAGTACTGAATTGGGCTATTTCTACCAGAAAAATCAAAAGAAAACTTTAAAACAACAACAACAACAAACTGTCCTGTGTGGGTCTATTGAACCCTCTGTGACTCAGGTAAACATATGCAAAACCAGTTATCTAGCGCATTAAGGTGGGTCCAAGTCCCATTTTGACACTTTTGCACATGTGGCACTTCTTGCTATCTGTCATACCAGGTGGATAAACCATAGATTTCTTCCCGTATCTCTACAGGCTAAAGTACACATTTATAGTAGAAAAGTAAGATACAGACTCAGACTTTTGCTCTGAAGGCTAAAGTGGTTTTGCACAGCCAAGGAAACAATCAACGGGGTGGAGAGATAATCTACAGACTGGGAGAAACATTTGCAAAGCATACATCTGATAAGGGGCTGCTATCCAGAATTATGTAAAGAACTCAAGTCCAAGGCATAAAAACAAATAATCCAATTTAAAATGAGCAATTAGACCTAAGTAGATATTTCTCAAAAGAAACAGAAAAGAGAAGAAATGCTGGCAAGACATAGTGAGAAAGGACTGCTTCCATTCTGTGGGTGGGAATGTAAATTAGGATAGACAGTATGAAAAACAGTAGAGAGGTTCCCCAGAAACTTAAAAATAGAGCTACCATATGATCCGGCAATCCTGTT